ACATCAAATCTGGTTTGTTCTGTGGAGGTGGTACCAAACTCTCAGTGCCATTCTGTTGCCTGGACTCTGGACCCAGGCTCCCCACTTTCCTTACAGCACCCCACTGGGCCTTTCATCATCAGAAAGTTCCTCCTGCTACTTCTGCCCTCCCACTCCCCCTACCCCAATGTTTGACATTCAATACCATTCAAAAAACTTAGTCTTCTTGGATATTTTAACTTTCCTTAATTGTAACCATTGTCAAAAAGGTTTGGTTCACTGAATGTTTTATGAAAAATTTAATGGTGCTTTAATTTCGATGAGACTAGGAAAAGGCAGTGTGTTAGTTTCCTAAGAGCGCACTCTTAGAGATTGCTTCTGGAAATAGCCAGAGCTTAGGAGGGTCCTGCACCTCATGTGTTTGAGCACCTGGATCTTCGAGGCCAGAATTTTATTGTAAGATCTGCATGACAACTCAGGCAATAATGAGATCAAGCTCACTGCTATTTCTGCAAATGCCCTTAGAACATCTGATGATAGTCTCTTTGCAACTCCTGGCTGGAGATTAAATTCCTATTTAATGACAGAAGGTAAAATCTTTCATTTTTTTTGAGTAGTACTTAGTGGCTGATTTATCAAAACATAATCTATTATGATGCTAATTGCTTGCAATTTTGTTTCTGGAACATATGAAAAGAGGCAAGAACTGCCATCCAATAGGATGAATTACAGGTGAATTCTTTACAGCTAAACTACCCCCAAGGTATAGCGGGCAATTCTGAACATGCAAGCAAGTTTCACTGGGGAAAAAAAAACACCCCAAACTTGGGTAAATGTTTCACGTCAAAATTAGATCAAGTAACCATTACCTCTCTTTTAGCTGTCACATTTGGTTTCCTTCAATAGATTTTGAATTTTCTCCTAGGGTTAAGGCAACACATTGAAACATTCTCACACTTCAGAGCACGGAAGATGTGATGTACCTCTCAGCTAACATCCAAACACAAGTTTAAAATACGCTTGCAAAACCGAGGTTCTACTTTTATTATGGGGATTACCATAACCAAACATGAGCTACAATAAACATTTCACCTCCACAAGGATCATTCCCGAAGAGGTGGATGTGGTTCAAATATGTATTGGATTGCACTCCAAGCCCAGATAAGCTGCCGATTGTCTAATGTCAGGGAAGTCAGTATAAAGTTGAAGCTAAAAATCTGTTAAATCCCACTTCATCCTTACCAGGGCCCTTTTTCTTAGAGCTCAGTGCAAAGGAGGGGAGTCTATAAAATACGTACTTAACAAAGCATGTCAGCAGCTTGAATGGAGCACACCAGTCCAGATCTGAGAATTCCAATAAATAAATGAAGCCGAGCATTTATTGCCAACAACCCTGTCACTGGGGCCACAGAAGACTGGAGCTGGGCAGCTAGGAGCCGGGAGGGAGCGTAGAGCCCGGGAAGACAATGGAACGCGCCCAGGTTGGATTATTTATGGCGTGGTGATGAAGAGACAGCTTTCCATATGAGGAACAGCTTAAGAGAGGAGACGCAGAGCTGGAGCCGGAAGAGGCCCAGAGAAAGAGAGAGAAACAAAAGGGGTCATGAATAAAAGTGACAGCTAATAAAACAATACAAATCTAAACCGCTGTAACTTTCAGAAATAATTCAGGGACAAAAGAAAAAGAAAAAAATAATTCTCATTTTGTTGGCTCCAGGACAACTTTCCAAAAAGCAAAAGACATTTAAGTGAAATGAATGTGCTGCTTTTAAGACCAAATTTGCCTCTGTGCCTTCCGGGTTGTGAGTTCAGGAGCTCCCGAAGCTGGGTTTAGTCATAGAAAGGGAAACGGGTGATTGTGTTGGTCTTTTGCTCACATATCCATTGTTTCAACAAATATTGTGCAGCGTTCCTTGTTATGTGCTGAGAAAAGACACAGTTCCTGCCCTCAGGAGGTTTATGGTCCAGCATGGGAAACTGAGAAGACCATTGTCAAGAGCAGGACACTGGGTGGGGTCTATGCTGACAGCCGGATCAGGACCAGGGGAGGCCATAAAGGGAATCTGTGGCCGACATGCAGCTTGGAATGGAAATAATTCAGTGAATTTTGCCTCTGGTACTGATTAAGAGGGCTTTGCTGTGGCTCAGACCGTAAAGAATCTGCCTGCAATACGGGAGACCCAGGTTCGATCCCTGGGTCGGGAAGATCCCTTGGAGGAGGGCATGGCAACCCACTCCAGCATTCCTGCCTGGAGAACTCCATGGCCTGAGGAGGCTGAGCAGCTATAGTCCATGGGGTCAGCAGAGAGCTGGACAGGACTGAGCGACTAACACTTTCACTTACTTCACTGATTAAATAGACACGTACCAAACTTCCATGCGATCCAAATCCCAGTCTGATTATTTAAAAATTAAAATGTACTTTTAAAAATGCAGATTTCTGTGGTTCTCCATTGTTTTTGTCCTTGAATTCTGGACAAGAGGCTGACCTGAGCTGTTTTAAATGATCCTCCTGGGGCATCACATACCTCTTCCTGTAAGTTTGGCCAAAAGAAGAATAAATACCAGCCACCACTTACTCCCTGGCCAGAGTATATGCCCGACGTTTTACATGTGTGGCTTCGACCGTTCACCACGGATGCCTCGAGGTGGGGTCATGGCTCCCATCTTACCGGACGGATAGTAGAGCCCAGAAAGCTAAGTCCTAGGCAGTGAGCCTCATGGCACCTCCTTCCAAACACTACTGGCTTTGGTTTCCGTACATAGGCAGGGACTGCACTAACAACACAGCTGCACCCTAGGAAGGCTTATCAGGCAGGGCCTGCCCCTGGCTTGTAAATCTGAGCTGATGCCAAAGTTCTTTTTTCCCTCTTGGCTGCACAGGGTTTTTGATCTTCATTGCGGCATGCGGGATCTAGTTCCCTGATGGGAAACGTGGAGTCCCAGCCACTGGGCCACCAAGGATGCCCCCTCCTAAAGTTCTTTAGCTAAATGACTCCCTCTTTTCTCCCACCTCCTCAGTCAGACGCCCTCTTCTCAGAATTCCCATGGAGGAAGTGTCACCATCAAGGGCCAGAGATGACTCCTCATAGGCGGTGCTGGGCTGCTCCCAGTGTAACTCAGGGAGTGTCCTGATGAGAAGGGGAACCTGGCAGAGGACTTCACGATGAGCCAACTGCATTTCCCCAGCTGTGCTCTTGGCCCCATCCTAACCTAACCCTCTCTTTCTTTCCAGAGGCTGTCTAAGCCCTCACTGTCTCACCCTCACTGCAAGAATATGGGCCACAGATGAGACAGTCCCTACAACCTTGGGGATTTTGATTCTACATGTGGGGTGGACACACTCTGTCCCCACACCTTTGCCCCCACCATCCTCCAGACCCACTCCTCTGCCCGAGGTCTTCTTGGCCAGTATTTCAAAAACACTGCTTAGCATCTGAAGACAGAGGGGCTGAAGAGCCACTTTAGAGCTAAACTCAAGTTTCTTGGTTTGAACTCAAGTAGTATTCATGGTAGATCTTTTTTTTTTTTTTTTTTTTTTTTTACTGTTTTCGAGACCACGCTTCCAAAAACAAACCAGATGCTGTGCTGAATGGTAAAGTTGTCCTGTGACTAACCCAGTTCTAAAAACACCACACAGCGTAGGTCCGATATTATCTCTCTAAGACCAGGTGAAGTGTGATGGATGGTGGTGGTGGTCTGTGATGACCTGGAGGGGTAGAATGGGGGATGGGTGGGAGGGAGGCTTGAGAGGGAAAGGATATGTGCACACTTATGGCTGATTCACACTGTTGTACAGAAGAAAGTAACACTACATTGTACAGCAATTATCCTCCAATTAAAAATAAACAAAATGAGACACTAAGAAAGGTAACTTAAGATCCACTAGCTTGTCAATTAGAATTTAGTTCTTCCTCGATTTAGATAACTTCCTTTAACACAGAAAACTGTTAGGACGCTGCCCCGGCCCAGCTTTGGGCTCCAGGCTGGCCACGAGTATGGTGCTTTCAGCCAAAAGCTGGGACGTGAATGGCTTGAGAGCTCCAATTCCCCCATTCCGAGAAAACGATTTTGCAGTCAGGATGGCCAGAGACTTCAGATGGTGATTTTTCTGATTCTAGGTAATTTCCCAGGAATTTAAGAGGCAATCACTTACTCTTGACTTTCAAAGAGAACCTGAACTTGAAAGGCACAGTTGCATCTAAAACTGATCAGTGACGACAGCATTTCCCAGGGAGGGAGGAGAGGCTGCTGACACACCTCGACCTCTGGGCTGAACCACCTTCTTCATTCCCCGGGTTGTAAATCTTCTGCCTCAAAAGACCTTTTGAGAATAACTCTTTACCCAAAAAGTGGTTTCTCTATTAGCTGAAGTCCTAAAAAATGTCTGATGACTTTGATAGGGAGCGCTTTGTCAGTATAAAGACTTATTGGCATCTCATCTTCAGGGAAATGTGCTTTGAAGAAAACAAAATTTTAAAAAGTCAAAGTCCTGAAAACATGGATTTTCAATTATGATAGATGGGAACCTTATTAATTATGTTGCTCCATGGCATAGTCAAATAAAACAGAGAATTTGATAAAGATCAACAGTACGCCAGGGTTGAGACTGAAATGCTTTTCCCACCTGGAAATTTATCACATTAATCTACTTAAACAGAAAACATGTGACTGAACACAGGACACACACACACACACAAACACATGTTTTCACTAAAAACTGTATTTGAAGAACAGGCTAATAGAACTCATTTCAGTCTGCAAATTTATCTTTTTATTGAATCTGAAATAAGTCTCAGACATTAACAGGATATAGGATTTTCAAATAAAACTGTATATGTTAGAAAAATATGCATCAAGAGCATATGTACATACATATTCCATAATAAAATAAGACTATGTACAAAGATCACTCCTGCTACTTAATGCTGATCCTAACTTGTTGGATTCTGGTGTTTAAGCACCTCCATGAAACAGAGGCAGCTGAGCACACTCCTCTCCTTAATCCCCGACCCCATGTTTCATTTTCCGGTTTCGCTGGAAAGTTGGACAACTCCCTGGCTGGAGAGCGTGCTGAAAATTGTCCACAGTTTGGGGGGGTCCTCACACTTGTGCTGCCACTCCCAGTGTAGAAGTAGCTCTTCTTTGCTTCCTAGTATCTGCGCACAAAGGACACAGTTAAAGCCAGGCTGGGGCAGAGGCAGGGCAGCCTGGGGGCCAGGACCCTTGGGGCCCTGGGGGTCTCCCCTGGGCTCACTGGGTCCTGGCTGGGCTCGTTCCTGTTTCGTGAGGGCTTCCACATCGTTCTGATGATGGAGGTAGAGTTGTCTTTTCAGTCTGGGGACTGCACAGAGCTCCCCGGCTGAGGGATGATGCCTTAGCAGCTTCCTTCTCTCAGGACGTTTCCAGAAAGGAGCAGCCTGTTTAGTCAGTTCTCCCTGAGCTGCTCTGCTTCCCAGGGAGGGTGAGCTCTCCTCTGGCAATTGGCCCTGGATTTCCTCGCCATGAATGGAAAGCAGGTGGAACTTGATTTCAGCCAGAGACTGGGCAGTGATCTGACAGCGACCACATCTGATCTGGAACCTGGCCTCATCATTCTGGTTCATGAGGAGGTCTTCTTCCAGGTTGGACTTGGTCTCCCTGGAAACGGGGGAGAGAATGTGTCAGACCTCACTGAAAAACTTCTGACAGCTCCTGGCCTGAGGTCCAAGGCGGGAAGAGTAGAGACCGTGTGGGAGACAGAGGCCATGGTGAAGGTCAATGTCGGGCCTGTGTGGTGGGGCCTCACACCTCCCAGGCTAGCAGGGCCACTTCGCAAAGAGGGTCCTCCTTTATGCATCTCCTCTGAGAGTTAACTGTTCTTTGGTTACCATGGCAACAGGTGTGCCCACCAGGAGAGCAGGAGGTACCAAGCATTGCAGGAATCCACTGGGTCCAGCTGAGATGACTGTCCCTACCCATCAGGGGGGCCTTCCTAACCCCAAGCACCCAATGCACTTTGCACAGTTTACCTCAAAATCAAAATGGACTCCATTAACCATTCAGAAGTGAGGTTTCTTTGAGGGAGGTGGCTATGTACCTTAGGAAAAGGCACAGGTATCTAAAAGGGAATGGAAATGCATAAAGAGACACAGAGACACTCCAGAAAAGCCAGGAAGAAACAGGACTGGTGTAGCTTATTTTCAGTGACTGTGAGAGACTGAGTTGAACGTGAAGAGAAAGGACTGAGAACCATCAGAACAACTGGAGATGATGAGGGACTGAGGTTCTAAAGTGCTGGGAGAGGTTTGATTTGCATGGTACTGATGTGCATGCATCTTACAGAAACCCTCTCTGTCACTCAGAGCAAAAGGGACAGACTGAGGGTGCTTCCTTGGTTTACTCAGGACCCTCTGACCCACCTGACAGGCTTTCAAATGACTCAGCTGCCTTGTTTATAATGCTGGAAAGCAGCACCACACAGGCAATGATGTAGGAGACAGCTTACCTGGCATCACAGGGAAACAGACCAAGTGCTGAGGGGTAGGTCTGCCCTGGAGGGGCTGAGTCCCCACCACCTGCTATGCCAGTTTTGGGGCAAACGATGCTCTTTCAATATACATTCTAAGGAAATGAGTTTGGGGGAAATTACTCATCAAAAGGACCATAACCATAGATGTTAAGTTACTCTTCCATATTTCAGATGCAAAATTAATCTCATGCCCCAATGTCTATAGCATCTCTCAAGCTGGCCCTTGTGCCCTGGCTGATGGAGGATGAAACTGGTCAAAAATCATGAATGATCAGGGACCAAAGAGAAATGAGGCCATTCTTCACAGAACAGAGGTGGTGGTAGCAGTTAACTTCTCAAATCTTAATCTGAGGGCTGTCTTTCCAAACTCACCTTTAGGAATGTGGGATCCGACCCTGATCTGGAATCTGAAAGCTCCTTCTGGCCAGGTCACCCGTCACCCGCACTTACCTGTCCACCAGTCCCTCCACCTCACAAGGGGTCTGTTCTCTGGTCCTCGGCAGGTCCCCCGGCTGTGGCTCGCAGGGGCAGGGCTCGGTACTGATGGCCACACCATGCACCTCTTTCAGGTGGCCGAAGTAGACCCTGATGTGGCCGAACACCTTGGCGCAGAACTCGCAGCACACAAGCTTCCTGGGCCGGGAGTCACCGTGGTGCAGCCGCACATGCGCGCTCAGGCTGCCCCGCCGCTTGTACACCTTTCGGCAGAGCCGGCAGCTGTAGGGCCGGCTGTCCGGGGGGCTCGTGTGCTCGCGGAGGTGCTGCTTAGACGGGAAGGGGTGGTCACACGCGTGGCACCGGTGCCAAGTCTTCCTGAGGCCGGAGAACCCGTTTCTGAAGGCAGAGTCGGGCTTTGGGGGCTGGCCATCCTCCTTCCAGTCCAGATGCTTGGGGGCTAGGGAGTGATCGAAAGACACCAGGCTCCCGGGTGGCGGGGGCTGGAGGGCGGCTGGAGGCGAGGCCAGGGCTGGCAGGACCGGGACAGGTTTGGGCATGATGCTCCGGTATTTTTTCACGGCCCCTGGTTTTTGGTTCCTGGCTTCTTGGGGATCACTTTTGACTCTTTCTTTGCTGTCCTTACAACTAAGGACACATTTCCACCTTTTCCCCTGAAATGTCAGAAGATCGTCAGGGCCCTTGCGTTTTCTTCCTCTTCTCTTCGCTGTTCCACCGTTCAGTTTTGTTCTGTGGTTGAGGTCAGGCTTGCTGGCTGGGCAGAAGGCAGTGTCACCGGGAATCTGCCCGGGAGCTGGTGGGGCAGGTCCCCTGTCCCCAAGCTGGGGGGCTGCACGGAAGCCTTCCGGGGTGGAGGGGGTCTGGTCCCCTGCAGTCCTGAGCCCAGGGAAGGGGATGTGCGCAGTGTTCACAGCAGCTCCGCTCCTGTAAACCTGCGCCGTCTTCACTCTCGAGTAGGGCAGGATGGGCAGTTTACCTCTGGGGATGGAAGAGGGCACCTGGACCGTGTTTCCAATGACGCCTGGTGACAAAATGGCTTTGGTGGGATCGACCGGTTCTTGAGGTTTTTCACTGGCGACAGCAGAAGGTTTCCTGGGGGTTTTCTTGCCTGGAACTTTCGCTCTTCCTGAACTCTTCGGGAGGCCCTGCTTGGCAGAGGACTCCTCTGGTGTGGCCAGTGCTGGGGTGGCAGGAGGAGTCCGATCTCCGTGGTTGCTGGACCCTGGAGGCCCGGGGTCTCGGTGGCCACTCCTGTTGGTCAGCGCAGCTGGGGCTTGGTCTGGTGCCGGCTTGGGTAGGCTGGGCTTGTGCGGGGGCTCAGGATGCTCAGGTGGGGAAGGGGCTGCTTGGGTTTGGGCAGGTTTGCTGCAACCCCTCTCGGAGGAGGAACCGAGCCCCGGCTTCTTTCTGACTCCTTTGCCGGGTCTCGGGGGTTGGTACCGGGGGATGGGCAGCTTTAGGTTCTCCGGCAGAGGCAGCCGGGGTTTCTGGATCGGCTGAGCTGAGGCCACGTGCGGCAGAGCGACCAGCGAGAAGGTCCCTTCCTGGCCGGCCACCTGCATCAGCGCATAATTCTGCGGGGGCATCCCCAGGGGCGTGGAGCCGAGGGAAGGGCCTGGATTCGCCTGATCAGAGAGTGAGGGCGCCGGGCCCGGCAGCACTCTGGGTGCCAAGACTTGGGGCGCAATCTTTGGAGCGATGGTTCTAAACTGACTCTTATTCTGCAGGCCTTTCCCACCGTGAATCGACCCAGGAGGGATATTTGGTTCGCCTGCAAGGACAACACAACATTAAAAAAAAAAAATCACTCTGGGGTCACTGTCCTGTGGTGATAGCACAAGTAAGCATCCAACCATCTCTGCCCAGAAGCATCCTTGGACCCAGCCCTGCCCTTGGGTGCAGAGCTAGTGTTCCTCAAGATGGAGGTCAGCTCCTGCCCACCTTCCCAGGGACTGATGACTTATTCTCCAGGGTTCCATGGCCCTTGTCATAACACTCACCACTTTCCATGGTAATTTATCTGTTTGTTCATCTCTACTATGAAACACAGAGCATCCTGAAAGCTGGGACTGTCCTTGTATTCTGCAAGTCCATCCTCCCTGTTGACCTCACTCTGATTTATTTTACAGGCCAGTGCTCCCCACCCTGTCCCTGAGCTCTGGCCTACATCCCCTCTGGCATGTTCTGCTGCAGACTCTCATTTCTTTCATATAAATGTCTTGCTTTCCCTATTAAACTTATACTCTGTGAGCACAAAGCCTATATTGGATCCCACTGTATCTCTGGTAGGAAACAAATGTTTCTTGTACCAAATTCCTTTCTCACTGGGTTTTAGGACACATTTGACCCACTGGCAGCGCCATCTGTCCTACACACAGGGATGCAAGCCAGACTGAATGCTGGCTCTGTGGCTGCTTCCCCGTGTGACTTGTGAATTTCTTCTCACACCTCTCAAACTGTTTATGTGTGCTTTTGCAATTAAATCACCAGTATTAAAAAGTTGATGTGACACCTTACACACATGTTGGAAGAAAAACAAAAAGATACAGAGTGATAAAGACACAGAGACAACATAAAAAATACATGGATCACACAAAAAGGCCCTTCCAGGACACCGATGGGAACAATTTTAACTGACAGGCTAACACTTCATATTTGAGATTTATTAGGCTGACCGAAAAGCCATGATTACCACTCTGAGGGGACAATTATGGAAACATTTCCATGCACTGCTTCTAAGGACTGAATCATTGGTTTTCTCCCCTAAGGCCTCAAGCTCCTGAGTCCTGGCTGCAGAAGAATTTCTCATTTCTGGGTACCTCGTGTCAGTCAGCTTATGTTTTCCAGGTACCCACACTATTCTAGAGATGGCTGCCACACATGGTTTTTTTTCTGAAACCACTGGGGCCAGATGTGCTTTGGAATTTACACTTTCAAATTTTAAAAAAGTAATAAGATGCTCACAGCAGATGTTACATAACACCCTGCAGAGTCTGCATAATACCCCGAATTAAACCTATTGCCACTTCTGTAGTGAAATATATGAGCATTCACAAGGTGGGGGGTCAGGGAATGATTTTTAAAGTTCTTATTTCAGTTTAGGCTTTGCCTCTGAATGTGTTTTAACATCCAACTTTGGATAACATTTTCTGTTTTCAGAGCCTGTTGGATTTGGGAGTTATAGGAAGAGGATCAAAGAACTATTTGTTTAGGAACTTCCAAGGGTATAAAGGGCTTCCCATGGGGGCACACTGATAAAGAATCCACCTGCTCAATGCAGGAGACGCAAGAGACTCGGGTTCAAAGATCCCCTGGAGTAGGAAATGGCAACTCACTCCAGTGTTTTTGCCTGGAAAATTCCATGGAGAGAAGAACCTGGTGGGATACAGTCCATGGGGTTGCAAGGAGTCGGATACAACTGCCTGCTACTTCATGACATGTCATGTGTCATGTCATGTGAGAGGTATAAAGATGAAATGATACAGCTTTTCCCTTGGTTAGCTGGCAATCTAGTGAAACAGCCCATTAAACATTAAAAATCAACCTTGATTTTAATGTCTACAGTGAGTGAACTAACAATTTTAGCACAAAATTGATTTTTTCCAGCAAAAATGACACTGCAATTAAACAAATAGCATAACAGGGTTAAAATATGTACTGACTGACCAACTTATTCTAGACAGTAATCACTGTCTGGTAAAGAAAAAGTATGCTAGAAACATATTTCCCATGGTATTAAAACATACATTAGAGGAAGAAGGAAAAAGACTCATGTTAAGGTCGGAAAAATCAGACAAGGATAATTATGTAATCTGTTGTTTTCCTTTTTGGCTTTGTGACCATAAAGTTCATGGGTAAACTGGTTGGTTGATCACCTCATAATAGTCACCTAAACTGATTAGCTATATCTGCTTCATCTTCCTGCATAGTTTAATTTATTTTTTAAGTTCTATTTCCACAGCTTTTAAATTTAAACATCTTTCATGTTAAACCTCATTTTAACCTTTTGGAAGAAGTACTGAAGTAAGCTGTAAATAAATACATTAAACCAGGATTGAGAGAGTTTACAGAGAGCTTAAAATTATTGACAGCTTTTGGTTGCCAAGTGACAAAGCTTATTAAATAATTACACTGGCAATCACAATGGTCTTTGCATCTATACAACCTATCATGGAACAGGAAACACTGGGTGATTTCTATTTAGTTCCTACTCCTAAGTGATGGAATACACAGTATTTATAGCAAGAAGAGCTGGAAGAGAGGCTATGTTGGCCTTAATTAGTCTCAAGTCTGCGTGAAATACAATAATGTGTGACAATAATGCATTGCAGCACAAGACACCTCACTTGTTTGCTCAAGTCTGTTCAACTGGCTCTTCATCCCAGACAGGAGCCTAAGTCCTTGCAGGGGCCTCAAGCCCAGAAGCCCTGGGCTCCTGGGAGTGCTCCAACCTAGTCCCTTTCCGGGTTTTCTCCAGGCACAGCAGCCTTGCTGCTGATCCTCACAGGGGCCACACACCTGAGTCCCAGAGGGTTCACATATGCTGCTCTTACCACCCTGACTTGCTTCCCTAGATCATCCCCAGTAAGGGCTGCAGCATTTCCTTCAAGTTTTGCTCAAATAGCCTCTTCATAGTGAACTCTTCTCTTAGTAAAGAGAAGAGCCTTAGTAAACGTGTAGCCCCATTCTGAACTCCCTGCCCCACTTCCCATTTCCATCTCCTCCAGCACACTTGCTCCATCTCATGGATTACATTATGGTCTGCAGTCCCCACCCCACACCCCCTCCACAAAAGTGAATTCCTTGATGATGGGGAGTTTATTTACCTCTTTAGGGCCTGGAACCAGGTTACGGATGTGTTCAGAAATCTGATAATTACTTGTTAAATTTGTAAGTGATACTTGTATAAAGTGATCAGTAAATGAAAGAAAAAAAAACACAATTTAAAAGCAAACTGAACATTGCCATGTTACGTTGAAAATTAAAAAAAGAAATAGAGAATAGATCTCTGGAATACTTTTTTTCAATTTAACTTGCCCACCATCAGAATAAGGATAGCACCATGATTTTTTTTTTAAAAGAAAACAAACAAACAAACAAAAAACCTTTTAAGGTTAAAGGGGAGAGGTGAGGCCAAATGACTAACCGTCTGAGGAGGTAATAAGAGAGAATGGCAAATGATGCCATTGGGGTACAAAGAAACAGGCAAGCTCTGAGGAAGAAATTGCTTTAGAGAAAACACACACACACAGAGGGGAAAAGAAGGGGATTAGAGAGAAAAGAGGAGGAAAGGAGAAGTGGAAAAACTGACCCTCAGAGAAGAGAATGGCTCTGTCAGCGTGACGAGGAGCAGAAATAATAAAGAACAAAAGATGCAGCTGAAGCAACAACTGGTGGTCAAGGTCACCTCAAAGTCCCCAAAGACTTCAGCTAGGAAGGGGCTCCCCAGGTTTTATGACCAAGTATAAGAAAGCAATCTTCTGACAGTTAAGGTTCCCAGCAATGGAGCCAGTTATATTTATTGAGCTGCTCCAGAAGGGAGGGAAAGGGCTAATCATGATACATTTAAAGTAGATATGCTTCAATGAATCTTCAGAAATTCCTATATTACAGTGGAAATAAAATCTCACATGAAGACCAATGACAGTCACAGGAAAAGGAAGCCGATTGTGGTCCCGGAGCAAAGGAAACTTTAGGGTAACCACAATCCCAGCAAGGGAGAATACTGATCAGTGAGCAACCTGGGATGACAGAGCCCTGGGTGACAGGTACGGGGCCTGCCACACAGTCAATTTTGCCCAGGTTCCCTGAAATTCAAAGAGGTAGATCCTGGGGTAGAAAAGTATATCAATTAGCCTCATGATCAATAATCAGAAGAAATCTGTGGGGTGAAAGGATAAGGCCTTACAGGATAAACTGAACTTTACTCACACTTAACTGGATCTGTTGGGAATTCCATACAGATGGAACAGGTATAGAACAGATCATGAAGGTGATGTTGAGTCCCTTCTCCCAGAATGATTAATGATGAGGTGATAAGGAATGAAATGATGCATTAGAAGAAAATCATAGCAGGAGAAAGAGGGCAAGGCCACAAAAATAGAGGGAAAAACTCCTTAGGAATTACTCAAATGTTCAGCAGGAGGGTACTAATAGAATAGCCAACCATGCAACAGAATACTATGCAGCAGTAGAAACAAAGTACTATTACAGGGTACAAATACAATACTCAGCCAATCAAGCAATGTGATACATAACACTCTCCAAGATGTGAAATACTATCACTTGGATTTTTTTTTAAAAGTAGTGAGAGACACACACAAACTAATTCCCGTGTATACACAGAACATCTCTCAGAGGAAACCAAAGAAAGTAGTCTTAGTGTAGCCTTGGGGGGTAAAGGCACAGTGGTGGAGGGTAACTATAGGGTGGGATGAGATGAATGCATATTTTCCACTGAATATTTTCTATGCCTAGCACAGAGGAAGGTACCTATAAATATTTGTTGAATGAATGAAAGGCAAATTAAGGTTTCCTTTTTGGATCTGTTTTGCAAAAGGAGTATCTTTGGGGATGTTGGTGATGGGTTGTGCGTCCCTTTGTAAATGACTGTGTCCAGATGACACAGAGAACATTTCAAGTTTTTCCTTTCCTTGCCTACTTAAGGATAAGAATTGCTAGTGATAAGAGAAATAATTGAATCATCTGACAGGCAGTGCATCACCACCCCTCAAGGTTCAGTCCTGGGAAGCATCAGAGTTCATTATCTTC